CCGCTCTCAGGGTGGACGCCCTCTCAGCCCTGGTCTGGCGGAAACACTGGCGTTGGCTCTTCTTCTATGTGTTGCAAAATGCTACACATAGGTTACCTGTGATTAGTATCACATTTTTGGGACAATTAATTCTTCTTTTTCTATATGGAGCCCTTTTGATAGTTAACTTTATATTTTTCATTTCCTAAAACATTTATGTTCATCTCATATTAACAGTGTGGATCAATAGCCGCGTTCACACCGGAGTACTTTTCACCGTACTTTTCGCGTTTAGTTCCGTTAGTACCCCTTATGTCGCGTTCACACCAAAAAGAGCACTTAATCTCGGGAACATTTACCCCCATTTTTAGTGCCTGCTGAGAGATGGTACTTTCCTGGGGGAAAAAAGTGCCCCAGTTCTGATTGGCTGGGCGAATTGCAAACCACGCCCCGTACAACTCTGAAATGTTTTGTAGAGCCGCCATTTTATTATCCTGGCATTAGCATTATTAGCATTAGCATTCGCCCAGTGCACAAACGCAGAGAGACTAACTTATGGCAACACAAAATAAAACATGGGAGCGGTGGAGATGAGGAGGTGTCGGCGTTCTGGCGATTTACTCGGAAGGCTTCAGTAGAAGCTGCTGGGAGTCCCAGCAGCTTCTACTGAAGCCAGTCCCCAACTCCGGGGACTTCCGGCCGGGGACTCCGGGTGGCAGTATACGCCGTGAAGTTGTTTGCGGCCTGCCAGTAAACCCAAAGCAGAAGCAGAAGAAGACGAAGTGACGTTAGCGGCTCATTTGCGTAATCTTCCCTCAGGGAAAAGTACTCCGGTGTGAACGCGATCTGTACTAAATGCCCTGGGGTAATAAGTGCCGGGGCACTGAGTGCCGGCACTAAATACGGCAAAGTACTTGGTGTGACAGCGTGGTCTCCAGAGGTCTTATCCCACTTCCTGTGAGGGGGCTGCAACAGATCCACGGAGGGGGCATGAAGAAAGACCTGCACCAACTTTATCCATGCTGGGCGTAGCTGTTATCACTTGCTCAGTGTCATTTCATTTGACCAATGTGAACCATGTGTTTACATATTTAATATATTTTATTATTATCCACCTTTTTGTTTAAAACATTCTTTGAGACCACATCTGAGATCATTTCTGGTTCTCATTTCAATAAATGTGATCAGTATTATCACTATTGTCTTTATTCTACATGAAAATGTTAGAGCTTCAATTCAAATCTGTCGATTGCTATTATTTATATCTCCCTCAGGCCAGGAATAGTATGTTGAGTTTCATGGTAAATGTATATCATTTTCTCACAGGATATAGAATGAGACAACACAGTTTTTATCCATTGTGTATGAATACATGCTTCAGCTCTTCAGACCAACATAGTAAGCTGTGAGCATGTTCCTAATTTTCTTGGTATGCAACCTAGGTCTGGTCTGTTTAATAAAGTAATGATGTTAAAGTAAGCAAATTAAAGGGGACCTATCTTGCAAAATGCACTTTGTGATGTCTTTTATGCATAAATATGTGTCCCCGGTGCGTCGGGGAACTCACGCAGCATCAGAAAATAAAACCCTCTTTCTTTTCCTCCGTACCCAAATCTTTTAAAAACGGGTGTACAACGAGCGGATACAGATTTGCTGCCGATCTGACGTCAAATCGGCAGCGGACCCACTGCCACAATGCCTGACGTGTTTTGGACGTAATCTCGTCTTTGTTTACATTAGCAAGCCTCGCTAACACTCAGAGCTAACCTGTACTGTAGAGCACATGTGTTTAAAAAGCAGGAAATAAAAAAAAGGAACTCACCTTGTGATAAACCTGCAAGAGAAAAAGCATTTGAGCTCCATACTGTTTCAGAAATAATCTTTGATGTGGTTTAGAACAGGATGGCGTTTTATCACAGCAGAATTTAACTTTATCTCCGGTAGAATTCTGATCAGGCATTAGCTCCGCGTCCACTTTAAATTAAATAATAAGCAAAATGCTAAATGTTGAGAACACGGCTTGCGAAAATATACGGGTCGTGTCCACAACACACAAACTGATCCTGCTGTAACAAGTGCACGTTACTGATGCAATATGGTTGAGACCATTCAGGCTTATGCTAGAAGAGGGGTGCAAGGAATAGTCTAAGTAGTGGGGGAGTTTTATACACTAAAGGTGTGGAAATTCTCTGGCGTTATAATATCAGCGCGGCCGCCAATCAGAGCAATGAAACGTTGGGTCTGCGTCATGCATTACTGATTGAGATCAGTCGGAACCGTTATTCAGTATCCCTATTGGATCTTCAACGTGTACTATCATACGTCACGTTCACAGTGATCCCTTTTTATTTACTACAAGACAAATGTGCCGTTTTATTTCATACAGTTCCATTTTGATTGAGACAGGGAAATAATCTAAACCTCACGCGTGGCGTTACACTGTCAAGGGGGGCGATATAGCGTGTATGTAATTACATTACAAATACTGATTTGAGCCCCACCACTGTATGGGTTAGCCGTACCATAGATTACCCAACAAAACTACTCTGGCGCCGCCACTGCCAGTGAGGTAAAGGCACATCTTTATATGATCATTATAGTTATAAAAAAATAAGAGACTAAAGTAAACGGGTATAAAATTCTATATGACAGTAAAAAAAAGTTGTTATTAATAAACAAGAATACAGTTTGAAAGGGGAGTGATTTGTAAAATATCCATAAAGAAAAATAAATCTGCTAACAGTTCTGTTTCATATGGATGTTGAGAGATGTATCCATAGATCTCTTAATGTTGCTCTCAAAGTGCACCAGATTGATGCTTTTAACTTCAACATTTAAAAAAAAATCTTCCCGGGGGGAGCATGCCCCCGGACCCCCCTAGAGGAGGTTAGGTCCCCCCCCCACTTAAATCATGTCCACATGGATAGGAAACTAAAAACATTTGCACATATCTTGTGTCCATATCGTTCTGTTGTGGTGGTCATGCCACACCGTGCACGTGCATGCATGCGCGAGTCATGGTAAAATTGAAATGGCCCTTGAGAGGAAAAAGGTTCCCCACCCCTGCCTTAAACGTTCATCCTTTACTGTTTGAATACTGTTCTTTGTTGAGGCCCCTACACACCAGGCCGATATCGGCCGTCTTGCGTTGTTGGGCGAAAACGGGTTCCTTGTCGCCCAAAGTCAATTTGGTGTGTCCCGAACCCTCGGCCGTGACACGCCTTATTTGGCCTTTCACGATCGACACCCGGCCGATTCAACATGTTGAATCGGCACCGATCACACTATTAAGAGTGAATATCGGCCGATAACGATCGGCGGCCGATAGATCTAATTGCAAGATATATTTTTTTTTTGCTGTTTTCTCTTTTGACATTTAACATGCTTTGGCTGTGTTTTCAGCTGATGCTATTTATTCTATCACTATCTAGGTTTATTTATCCCCTATAAACTTTGTTACCTGGAAAATTAGTCTTTATTTAGGATATTTAATTATCCTCTTTTGCAACTGCTGTTGCAAATGTTATTTAAAGTGTTGCTGTCTGAATTGCTGCTGCATTAGAAACCGGTTTACTAAGGAAAAGTCTTGCCCTACTCTGCCGAGCATTATCTCACACTTCCTCCTGTGTGCCATTATCAGCAGAGCCTTGTCACTGTTGATCTTCCAGACGCATCAGAGCCCTGTCTCTCTGCGTCAACACCGCTCAAGGTTGTCAACCTTCTGTCCTCTCCTCACAGCTTTGTGACTGTCTCATCAGCCATGTAACCCTGCACTACCAGCTGTGATATTGACTGAGCCAAATGTCAAGACCTATCAGATACATAGGAATACTGCATTGTTTATTGAACAAACATTAGAGTATTAGAAAGCCGGGTTTAGGGAATAATTAGCAGGAAGTAAGCAGTGCACTGTCATCATATTCAATTCAGTTCTCATATTGGTCATTTTTTTACAGTACGTCCTCCATTCCTGAGGACTTGTAGCTTACATTTTACCTTAGGAATTTATACAGGCAAAATTATTATAATTACAAAAAAAGTCTGCTGACTAGACTCTGATAAAATAATCTAAACTTATGGTCCACTAACTAGCTATTTCCAGAGCTTTTGGTTCCTATCTCAGGGTTTTAATTGGTGGATAGAGATAGCTCAGTTCACGTAGCCTGAAGCTGAATTCATACGATACGTGATTTGCTCTCTGCTCACCGTGAGGTTCGGCGCAGAGCCTTGCGGTGAAAAGGCAAGCTAAGTTTTGTTTCTATGGTTACCTGCTTGCTTTTTGCAGTTACATACAGCTGTTATGTGATTGTTTGCGGATCAAAAGTTCATCAGCAGTAACCAGGTCAAAGTTGAAATAATATGAACTTGGAGTTCAGTGACCAGCAACAATTTCAAGCAGTGTGCGGCGCTGACGGTAGTTTCACAGAGAATTCTATTCAAACCACATTATCTCAACCCAGCATCTAGCAAGAGGTTTACATGTGTTTGATGATCGATAACCTTTGTGGACTTTTTATTAACCGTACTCTCCTCCAGCAAAGAAGGCCAACTAGTACTAGTAGTATGCTGTAAAGTTTTATTTGTACTTTGTGCACATGTGTGTGAACCACGTTGCCTGAAGTTTCATGATATTCCTGTAATTGACATGTTGTGAATTTGACAGAAAACCAGCAAAGGCAGGAAGGAACAAAACTGCTTTCATAAAAAACTAAAGGAGCTTTAAATGTTATGAAAAATTAAATTAATTTACTCTGGTTTAGGCAGACTTGTGGAGAGCGCATTATAGATAATGATTACCTAATTTTCTTTATTTCTTTTACAATTTGAGGTCAAGCTTTTAAGAATGCTTTTCTGGAGGTAAAAGGAAATTTGGCTTTCATCTCCTTATCACTGTGAGTGGGTTTTGATATTGAATATTATATATGTATATTGAAATCTCTCCTTTCTGTTCTTCTCTCCCCCTTTACACTTCCTCCCCCCCTCTTGCCATTTCCCTTTCTTTCCTCTTTTGCTTTCTCCAGGTTCTGTTGCTGTTTTGCAGCAGGTGACCCCCACTCCTCAGCCAAAATCCGTTTATTAGATGTGACCACAAGGTTGATCAGGAGAAGCCACCATGTCTTAAACCCAGACGGGCCCTCTGGAGCCCTGTCCCCCCACCCTGGATCCCCCTCCCCCTCCCCTATCCACCACCTTACCCCTTCTCCCAGCCCCATCCCACTTCAACACCTCCTTCCACATGTGAGGGACAGGCTTCCGGGCTCCGGCTCGCCTCTGGCACACCCCCCCTCTCCCTCAGTAGAGATGAGCCTGGAGAAGCACCAGCAGTTGGGTGGTGGTAGCGGAGGGGGGTTGGGCTCTGACCGGGACCTGCAGTCCACTGCTTCCTCCATCTCTCTGCCCTCTGTGAAGAAGGCCCCCAAGAAGAGGCGCTTCTCCCTGGCCTCTCTCTTCAGGCTGCGAGGCCGGGAGCCCAAATCAGGGCGCCAAAGGTCCCGAGATCTCCAGTACCCGGGACCCATTGGGCTAGTCGGTGTGGATGGCATCGCCAGCATTGAGAGCATCCACTCTGAGATGTGTAACAATAAGCACTCTGCCTTCTTCTCTGCGGCTGGGGCCGGAGCTGCCTCTGCTGCCGCCTCCACCTCATCTGCCTCGGGGCCTTCCTCCTCTACCACCACCTCCTCCTCCTCTAAGGTGGGGGGTGCGGTGGTGGCAGATCTACTGGAGTGCCCGCTGTGCCTTCTGCTCCACTCCAGGGAGAGCTTCCCTGACATCATGACCTGTCACCACCGCTCCTGTATGGATTGCCTGCGGCAGTATCTGCGCATCGAGATCTCAGAGTCTCGTGTCAACATCAGCTGCCCCGAGTGCTCGGAGCGCTTCAACCCTCACGACATCCGCATGATCCTGGGTGACCGGGCACTCATGGGGAAATATGAGGAGTTCATGCTGAGGAGGTGGCTGGTGGCTGACCCGGACTGCCGCTGGTGCCCTGCGCCGGACTGTGGGTAAGAAGTGAATAAAATACACAGCATGGCAACAAAAAAAACGATTAGTAAGAAGGAAACTTTAAGCGATCTCTTGGCAATATACCTCCAGCTCTTAAAACATTTATGAACATAGGATTGCACTCTACACAAACCTTTCTTTAAGAAGTGATGATTTCGATGAGTTAGAAGAGGTGAAATATTTCCTCTCTTTTTGTGGAGCAGGTAGCTTAGAATTTATTTAATAAACCTTGAATACTTGAGCAGCTCCATGTTTGTTTTGTTTTTGTGAGTTTTGTGTCCTGTATTTTAAAGGTTAAAAAACCAGTAGCATAAAACAACGTTAGACGTTTGTGTTGGATTAGCTTCCCTGTTATTATGTGCCGTGTTTCAGAGAACTTTGGGAAATGCACAGAAGGCAAATTTGAACCAATGCTGTTCTCCTGGAAACAATAACTTCAGCCTACAGTCATTTGGCCCACATAATCAGAAGCACCTTGTTCAGGCACACCCATGCAGCAAGTGAATCCTGTGCCAGGGGAAAAGAAAGGAAAATAAGCCTTACATTTTCTATTTTTGTGTCTGTTTTTGACATATTGTTGTATTGATCTGACTTTGTAGAAAAATGACCTGAGTATATTCCTTTGCAGACCATACTCTTAGTAGTTTTCAGTGTGGTGGCTTCCCAACAGTGACTCTAAAAAACTTTCATTTGTCTCTGCTAAGCTTCACTGTCTGTCTGCATTCTGGACTGAGTCCTCTGCAGAGTAAAATGATCCATAGCGTAGGAAGTCTCCCAGGCTCTTCATGGCTCTGTGATCAAACTGAATCTGGGGTCATGCACAGAGGGGCTGGGGGGCTTCTGCTTCAGTCTACGTCACATGCTCCAGGGTTTCCCTCAAGACATTGGCTAGCCACTTCAAACGTTTTCTGAACAACGTCTTTAGATTTGTCTCCTGTCTGTTAACTGGAGTCCTCATGCATCACATCACCTCAGCTGTCACTCTCTGTCAACCTGAGGGCAAACACACTCAGCGTTAAACACAGTAATTGAGGATGGACACAGCGTCACTACTCATGTCAAGAGTACTCTGCAGCCTCTATATGGATCACAGTGCTGATGAAAGAGGGAGACAAAGTGCTTTTGTAGTTTGCCATTCAAAATGCTCTCTAATATACTGTGAGTGTAAAAAGAAGGATTAAGCTGGTATCTGTCAATTCTAACTTAGGCCCCAGCTAGATGAGTAGAAGTGTTTTGAAAAGGAACACAGTTCTTCATCATCTATTCTCAATGTCAGCTGTCTAATTTTGTTGCTGGCGTTCTATATGCAACACATTTACTTAAATATACATATTTTTCTTTTATCTAACATTTTATGCTAGTTTTATTCAGAAGTCTTTTCATTTGTTATTGCAGACAATGACATCGTTTAGACAAAACTCATTCTGTGATGTCATGACGAGGATTTATATCTCTGCATTTCCTGATATGTTTTGCTTGTCTTCTACCAGGTTCGCAGTCATTGCTTTCGGCTGTGCCAGCTGTCCTAAGATCACGTGCGGCAGAGAGGGCTGTGGCACAGAGTTCTGTTACCACTGTAAGCTGCTGTGGCATCCCAACCAGACGTGTGATGCAGCGCGGCAGCAGAGAGCCCAGAGCCTCCGCCTGAGGACGGTGCGCTCCTCCTCCCTCAGCTACAGCCAGGAGAGCGGAGCTGCAGGTGGGCTGCTCTTCTCTCTTTATCCTGTGCTCACACATCGCTAAACAGGAGCATAGATTATATGCAAGACATTACCACAATGGTAGCAGTGTTACATATGTATTCCATTTCATTGGAAGATGGATTGAAGGGAATAGAGTGGTGCAGTGAAGACATTTTTACGTAGACCAACCAGGAAGATAGAACACTGTGGCTCCCTCGATAAAGGCAATTACATTTTTCCATTGGATTTGGGGGAAAAATAAGATCTGTGGTAAACAAATGTTGATGTTACTTACACGTTTCCTCATATGGATAGTCTCCACATCTGAACACCTTTTTTATGATTTTTGAAGCATAAATGCAATCGCCAGAAGAAAAAAAGCTGACATTCCGTTATAATCAATCACCAAAAACATATACAAACCTATAAATAGTCAGTGAAACGCCCCTTATATTCATTTATACTGACTGCACAAAGACGATCATAGGAATCGGCGACAGAACGGCTTATGGCGCATTTCCACCGCAGGCCTCGCTCGACTTAGTACGGTTTTGTTAGGCCTTTTTAGGCCCAGCTCACTTTAATGCTGCGCTTCCATTACAGTTAAGGAACTGGGGTAGTAACTATAGTAACGCAGTGTAGGCGCACCCCAGAAAAACAACATCAGCCGTTAGCTGTTAGCACTCAAGCTCACAGCTCCTCATATCTGTTCAGAAACTAGACAAAAGTTAAACAAGTACAAACCACAGACTGCCTGTGTCATGGCGAATACAGTCGCTGGTTTATTTATGTCTGTATAGGCCGTTGTTGTGAGTGTGGACGGTCGGAGCATATACTGCGTTAGCTTAGCCAATCTCCATTTAGAAAACGCGCATTTTAAAAGGTTTTTCACCTGCCGTCTGTCTGCAGACTTGTCAAAGCATTAATTCATGGTTTTTACTAACCGGTATCAGTATGTTGTTACTTCGGCATCATTTTGAAACGTGTATTACAATGAAATCACGGTCAAATATGTTCATCTTGTTGTAGTTGTAGCCCCCTTGCCAGCAATTCTCTCTCTAGTTTAGCAAACTCAGCCCGACTCAGCCCTGTTTGATGGCCCCGATAGAACCACGATTTTGTCGGGCCAGAAAAAAGGTGAAAAAGTAGCCCCGGGCCGGAACTAGGCATAGTGGAAACGCAACCAAAAACGGGCCCGACACGGCACGCTTAAACCGCGCTCCGCGCCATGGTGGAAATGCGCCATAAGTAAGTGTAGTGGAAGTTGTTGTAAAGGGGGAGACAAGTAAACAATATTGTTAGGTGTACACAGTTGGACATGGGAAACTACCTCAGACGGGCCGAGACAAACATTTCACAGATCAATTGTGTTATTTGTTTCCATAACTCCTATGTTTTAACAAGCAACTCATCACATCTTGGTGCACGACATCATTATATTATCTTCATTTGTAAAGGATTGTTTAAAAGCCCAGTTTCAAAGTTCTCTACAATAAAACACATTTCAAACACAGAATTGTGTAATATCTGCACAACCTATAGGCATGGAGAACGCTGTCAGTTTAAACCTTAATCTGTCTTTCTGTTCACCTCATTATTTATGAGAATACATATCATAAAATGCAAGCATTGTAGCCTGTAATAATTATAAAACATATTTGAGGGGTTATTTTCAATAACATATCTGTATTATTATAATTATAATTTATTTTAAATGTGTGCAATAAGGGAGTATCAAGCAGGTGTTTGTTTATTCATTGTAAGATTGCCATTTATCTGTTTTTGAAAATGAACTGAATATTTATTTTTCTCTTTTCATCCTACTGCTATGATGTTGCAGTTTCTCATTTCTCCCGTTTCTGTGCGAAGGCATGTGTGTCCGTGGATGACCGCACATTTACCTGCCAAGTTTGTTTTTTATTAATCACAAACTTTGCTTAGAAATGGACATACGCCATCTTTTGAGCATAGTCAGCAGTGTTTTTAGATTTACAAAACTGGTGGGGCATATATTATATTTATATATCTATCTATGCTCCCTTGTCTCCTCTTCACAACTCCACTTTTTGCGGCACACACACTTACACTTACTTTGCCCCACTTGTGATTAATTGTATGCCGCACACATTGAATAAAGAAATACTCTGAGCATACGCAGCATACTTTCGTAGTACACACTCATTTTTGAGAGAGGGGCTTGCCCCACATCGCTCAACCCGGCTGAAGCAGCAATGTAGAGACCGCTAAACATGATCTTCAAAATATATTTTAACATTTATTTTATACTGAACAATGATTGTAATTATTTTCTACTGATTGTAGGTGGGGCTGTCCCACCTGCCCGTAATGACGAGTCCCCACTGAAACTTTGATATGATGCACACTGAATAGTTTTCTCTCTTTCCTTTCAGCTGATGACATTAAGCCATGTCCGCGCTGTGCTGCTTACATCATCAAAATGAACGACGGCAGCTGTAACCACATGACCTGCGCTGTGTGTGGCTGTGAGTTCTGCTGGCTGTGCATGAAGGAGATCTCAGACCTGCACTACCTGAGGTCGGTTTATTCAAACGCACACATCTTCATAAACCCAGATTCAGATAATGCCTATAATAGGACTTTGCCCAATTTGGTACAAAAGCCAATCCTAACTTAATTTAAGAATACCATTTATCTTAATTCAACTCATGTTAACTTTGGTTAGGAAACCCTAACCACTCTATCGAACTTCCCCATTATTTATAGTGCTGCAGATAGCTGTAACAATCTTTCACAAGTGGTTACAAGCACCAAAATGTCAATGTTTATCCCTCTGGGGCCATTTATTGATACAGCATTCCAACTACTTGTTCTTCTGTGCACAAAATTCTTTATTTTTATTCCACCGGGTTATTTTGCACCTCTTCTGCTCCCACATTCCACATCGCAGAAACTCCGTTCTAACATTAAAACGTTCAGCTCGATCGGGAATCAATGGCTATTACTTTTCTCATTCATAACTTTCATAATTCCAGAGATATATCCCATAATTCATCACATTTTTAACATGGAAGTCAATGGAGAAACTCTTCAGACTTGAAAAATCTTCATGCGACTTCAACTGCTAACTGTTCATTCATACTTTCACTCAGAAACCTCATTCCAACTTTAAAATGTTACACATCTTTCTGACATTATTCATATTAAACAACTTTTAAATCAGATTCATACTTTTAGAGATCTTAAAGTGGACCTATCATGCTATATTTAAATGATATATTGTAGGGCCATACCTATATATATTATACGTTTCTGTTTTCAAAATACCAAACAGATCATGCATTTTAGCCATGCCTCATTTCGCTCTATGTGCTGTTTGCTGTCTACGGGGCTGATCTCTGTGAGCTGCAGCTGACCACGCCCCCCTGCAGGAGAGTGGGAGCCGTGCTCTGATCAGCTGCTGGGCTGTCAGAAGAGGGGGAGAAAAATAGATCTCCGTCCTCCGTGTTTTATTATATAGAGTCGTTATTCATTTGTTTTAAAGCTCAATAAATAACAAAGAAGACCTTTGACTTTTCAAATTTTGTCCGGAAGATTTAAACTTTAACGGACATCTTGACCGGCGAAAGAAACTGAAACTGAAACTCTGCTGCACGGTCCCCTCGTTCCTTGGAAGAGGCGGAGAGGTGGGTGTTTGTCATCTGCTGGTGGACTAACCGGAGAGAATTACAGTGCTTGCCTCGACGGGGAGGGATTGCATTGAATTAAAGCAGCGGGAGCAAACGCTTGCCTCGGGGAGGGAGAAAAAAAGCCACAGCGGAGAATAAACAGAAGGGTAACCATGGTAACTATGGGTGGGAAGTCTTCTTCACTGCTTTTGTGGCAGACTACAGCGCCACTTACAGGCCTGGCATATGTACTACAGCGTCTCCAGCGCTTTCGAGCGGCAATGGCCGGCCGTGGCCCAACCCCACATTCCCCTGATAGGTGGAGAGTTGGCCCAATAGCCGTAGCGCCACTTCTGTGACGTCATAGAAGTGTTCAAATCTGGATCAGTCTGTATCGGATCCGTTGCAGCCCCTTTTTTTAGAGATTTGGGTATGGAGGAAAATAGAGAGGGTTGTGTTTTCTGACACTTGGTGAGTTCCCTGGAACACCGGGGACACATATTCATGTATAAAAGACGTACAAAAGTGCATTTTGCATGATAGGTCCCCTTTAAACATTGTTCAGACCTTGGTAAAGAGGCCTTCTTCAGATTTTAACATTAGTGTGTATTGCGCAGCTCGTTAAGGCTAGAGTGCGTGATGTAACAGCTAGTGGGGGACAGCTTGAAATTCGCCTTCATATATTTTTTTTAAACCTGCCATAATTCCAAAACCCTACATTACCGAGACATCATTTTTCATGAGAAACGCAGGAAAACATCTCGTAGCTTGAAAAAAAATTATTATAATTATTAAACAAAATGCCTCCATTAAAGCCCATTGTAAATTCAGGCTCATCTTTCCTCACAGCAGTATGGAAGCAAACAAGAGACAGAAGTATTTTAATTTGATCAGACACCGAATTTATAGCATTAAAAATAATTACTTTGAAAATCATGTATCTGAATTGTTTTGCTCCGAATTTACCTATATGAAATAAAAATGTAAAAATTCAAGTTAAAAAAATTCGAATGTTCAAATTCAGATCCCAAAAATTCAAGTTAAAAAAATTTGAATGGACAATTTCGGTGTTTAAAATTCGACGTCCAAAATTGCGATGCAACATCATCCAGGCTACCCAGACAGGATAAGCAATCGAGCCTGAATGCAATCGAACCGACTTCTGGCCTATCAGAGCACGACTTTGTCAGTCATGTGATCACAACAACCCGGGAGAAAAATGACGGAGAACAGCGGGGCTCGGGTAAGTAGTCAGTTTGTGCTCTTTATTTTACAAGCAGTGAGGTCTCGACAGCATTTGTATCTTACATTAGCTAGCTAAATGAGTGATGTAGCCTTGTTTGTTTGTAGCCTTGTGCCTTGCTGTTAGCAAGCTCCGTAGTTATCATTAATTGAAGTGAATCACAACGTTACCGTGTCCTTTTGTGTGTGTGGGGGGGTGACGGTTTGCAAAGTAACGTTAAGATCACTTCGGTTAGATAAGTCAAGTAGACCATGCTACACTATACAAATACTCTCTTACAAAAGCCCTGCATTTAAACATGTTAATGTTACTTTAGTAAAAGTATGCTAGTATAATTAGGAAAGTGTTGTTAAAGTATTTAAAGTAGACACAAGTTATACTATTATATTATATCATTTGTTTTATTGTTATTACCGATGCAAAAGTTGACTTAACTGTGTGTAGTTGGAGCTCATTTTGAACAATGAGCTAACTAACTAATTACTTTCATAATGGTTTAATGTGCTGACTATTTTCTACATTAATAGATGGTCTGGTTTGTTCAAACTCTCAAAATAGTAGGACATGCTGTCATAATTACCCAGAGTCCGAAGTGACACCTTTACAATGTTAAAGCTGTTAGATAAAGGTAGTGATGTAAAAACTAAAATATTCAAGATAGTGTAGTGGAAAAGAGATAATGTTTTAAAAACATGTTCCTAAAACAAAATCTCTTGTTTTGGACTGACAGTAATGATTCAAGAAATAGTAGATAAATAAATACACACACATCAATCTGTGTGCATTTGTTGTGGATGGAACACAACAAATGGTGCTCTTACCTGTGATGCCTCCTCCACACATTATAACCAGACTGTATCATTCAAACTATAAGTAACAGTTCTAGCTACTTGACTTTAGACAAACAATTCAAAAGACAAAATCAACACAATTTATTGAAAGACCAATCTTTATTTTACGGTGCCTCTCCTTTTGTTTGTATTATTAAACCCTGTCAATCTAAAAAACTGAGCAACTCAACAGTTAACTTTATATTTCTTATTGTCCAAAGCATCTATTACACTATTTTTTCCCCTCTCATATTCACAGGATGGATGATTAGAGACTTTGGGGGAAACCTCAGCCTTATGAACGTCCTGTCTGTTGGTTTGCCCAGAGAGGGCTGAGGGTCTTTCCCTGCGAGGAGGACCAGGCCTGAGGGAGGAGGACCTGCACCTACAGAACTTAGCCCATGCTGGGCATAGCTGTTACCACCTGCACAGGCCTAGCCTGTCACTTTATTTGACTAAATGTGTTTACTTAATCAATTAACAGATTCACATTTAGTGTAACTTATGTATATTATTTCGTTTTTATTTAAAATAAATTGTGATGGTTCATGCTTGATAACTTTTAGTTCACATTTCAATAAATTGTATTTGTATTTGTACTCCTTTTGTCCGTTATTCTTACTGAAAATGTAAAATTACACATTCACATCTGACTGATGATTGGCACCATTTATTTGTGACGTTGCAAACTCTGTATTGTATTGTGAAGCTCATAAAGTGAGGCAAATGCATTTGATCAGCTGACCTTTTTGTTTTTGCCAAACTTTATAGGCCTGACAATAATCACACTGTCTCTGAGGTGCAACGTAAAACACAAAACAACACAAAAATTCAGTTCCTGTTAGACTACAAAACTAGTCAGTGTGCAGGTCTTTGTGTTACAATATAAGTGTCTCTTAGTGAATGTCCTGTACTGCTCTTAAATCTCATAACATCAGCTTTTCCTGTCCCTCTTGGATGTTCTTCTGGACCCTCAGAGAAAGAGAAAATGGTGAAGCAGTCCTGTCTCTCAGGCATGTCCTTTCCTAACAGAAATATCAAAAAACATATAATTGCAGAGCAAGTGTGTTATTTAAGAAAGAGGTGTGTTTGTTTGTTCAGGGGCTATAAATATAATGATTTTTTTATTTGAATGTGTTTTTTAAATCCAACAGTGTACTACAAAGATAATCAGATTATGAATAAACCGTTCTAAATCAACATTGAAATAAATGAATTATTAAAATAATATTTAACTGTTATCAAAACTTAGTGCAACTGTAGAAGCTTGCTATTTTCGGTTGTCTCACTGAAAATCACTTTTAACATGTTTTTTTACAGTCAATATGCAGAGACAAAGGGTCGCAGCTCTCACTATGTTCAATAATATTTGCCTTAAATACATTGAAATGTGAAAGTTGAACAAAAAAGTTATGTTGCTCGGTAAAATGTAAATGTAACCTTTTGCTAAGAAAGTACACTCAACATCACTGATGTGTAGGTGATCTAGTATATTTAGTAATGTTTAATGGCATGTATATCAGTGTATTTGAGTCATTACTTAATTTTAAAAAACCAATAACTTTATGCATTCTTTGTAAATTATGAAAAAGGTATATGTACCTTGGAATCCATGCTGAAGTTCTCTGCTGTTAGGAGTCCAGATCTGTCTCTCCTCCTCTGGTCCAGCCTGTCTGGATCACCTTAAGGAGACTTTGAACAAACAGATGTAAAGTTACATGCGTGGGTTACAGACGTCTTTAAATGCAAACAACTTTTTATCTTCTTTTAAAAACAGGTCATAATCTTATTGTTATACTTAAGAAATTGCTGGATATCACAGTCCTTATACTGTAT